TTCAGGACCAAACTTCTGGAATAAAAGGGAATCATGACATGTCACACATGTCATGTGTCCTTAAGGGGTTAAACTTCTACACTTTTCAGCACTTTATTTCTGTGTGTTAGGCCTTTTATTGCCAAATTTCTGGGTCTTGACGCAAATATGTTTTACTGCTGGTCTGGTCATAAAGATGATAGAGTTACAGTTAACATACTTATCATCATTTAGTGAATTAAACACATTTCTTTCAACTGGCAAATAGCACGATTCTTTTATGTATACAGCTTTTGAAAAGGATTTATTGTAGCCCATTAATGACTAGGGTGTTAAGAGTCAAGAAATCCTTTCTTTGTACCCAGCTGTTTTCAGCATGAAACATATCAATTTTTGTGTGTTTGAGAACGTTGGATGCATAGTTTATTCTGTATGATAATGAGGGGAAGTAATGTCAATTTTTATTATGTAATATGATCATATCAGTTGAGGGTACACAGTGTTTTATTATAATTGTTGCAAAGTGTAATAAAAAGCATAGAACAAGTATAAAAAAATATTTTTAAAACGGTTTAAAAAGAAATTGTGATCAAAGTGGAAAAAGTAGCCTCCAGTCCTTCTGATAGGCAAAACATAAACCTGACATCGAGTCATTGCAGCAAAAAGTTCGTAATTTAGGAAGAAGTGTGCTTGGCATATATGACAGCTGTAAATAGCTCGATTTCTTTGCAATCTGTAATTAAGGAATAAACGACAGACAGTGGTAGGAATACGTTGATTCCAAACATGCGAGCTAAGAGTGGGTTGTGTTTATCAGAAATTGATTTTGAAGTATTACTGTTTTTTCTGTAGACATGGAAAGTAAAAATACACATGCAGAAGGCTCCATAATGGGTTCTAACAGTCCAAATGGTGCATCACAGCTATTTTGGTAAGGTGGGCAACTCATCCATGGAAGTTTCTCCTTTGGGTGATGGTTTTGGTCAAATCTACCAGGCAAGGCAAAAGATGTATGCTTCATCACAACTCTTCTTATTGGTACAGAGAGGACCCAATATATTCGTTTGGCAAGACATTACTTGGTTACCCTTAGTTTTTTTTTTTTTTTAGTTATTTTATTCATTATTTATATAATTCCATAAATTAACATCACAAAGAGTACTGCAGTGCCAGAGAGATACCCAGTAACATCTATAGTAAAGAGACATGTGAAAAGAGGGTGTATACTTTCAGCAATATTTAAACATGCAGAATGAGATTTTTGGTTTTAATACATGGTAAGACAGCTATGTAAAGTCTGCTTAGTTACATTCCCCGCAATATATGTGAAGTGTGAGATTCTACTTACTGGAGTCAAGGTTGGGTAAATGTGGCAGATATGATGGTATAGAGGTAGTGTAACGGAAGCTGGGCTCTATCTAGTGACTATGTTTGATCAGGTAGGTTACCCTCAGTTTTATTATTAGAGACAATTGTTTTTTATGTAAATACAGGCGTAGATCCCTTCTAAAAATACAAACATTTTTTTTATTTTTTTTTGTTGAGAAGTTCAATCTGATCACTTACAGGTCTGTGTTAGATTGGTGCTTAAGAATCTGAACTTGCTATTCTCGAAGAGACAACACCAGCTCTTGAAGCCTTCTGGAAGTGCGTCATGCATGTACAGGGTTTACTTAACCCCTTAAGGACCAAACTTCTGGAATAGAAGGGAATCATGACATGTCACACATGCCATGTGTCTTTAAGGGGTTAAAGAGCTCTGTCTATTTTCCATTTGTAGATTACAATTCTGGATACAGGGCCTTCACTCTGGATTGGATTAGTTAGACAATAAAAGTCGAAATTTCTTCGTAACATCTTAAGTTAGGAAGAAAAATGAGAGTTGCTCAGAAGAGGCAATCACACCATATGACCAGCAATTAAATTGAAAAGACACACAGGATAATTTTAATTATTGTGTGATTAAATATATCTTTTATATTGGAGTCCTGGAAAGCACGTAAACATTCTCGAACATGAGAGAAATCTAAATTAGTTCTTCCTGGCAAGATTCTTTTTCTAAATAAATTAACTCTTTAATCAAATACATTCTTCAATATTTAGTTGTGTAAACATTTCTTCTTATATGATAAAACTCATCCTTCCTCTAGATCGTGACTTCAAGATTTCTATATTAATCTTATTCTTTCCACATATAATGTTTATTCTTTATTTTACAGATTTTTTTTTAAATTACGTTTTCTCCTTCTTTTTGGTCATGTTGTTTTGTTTTATTCTTCTGTTTTGTGTGCAACAGAATTCTGTTTAGTGTTATAAAAAATACACTTGCACATTTGATTTCTTAATGTGCGCAACCATGCAACATCTCCAATCAAGGTAGGGGCATATGTATTACTATTGTTACATAGCATTAAAACCATGGATTTCAGTAGTCAAGTATTACACTTTTTTAAAGTGCAATACTTGTCTATTGAGGATATATCTGGTATAGAGATAACAGTCCTTTTTGATTCTATGTATGCATTTGCTATTGTAGGTTAGAGGTATTTCCATACGTAAGACATGCTGTCTGCCCTTGGTGCCTTTTTAAGTACTGCTCTACCAACTCCACACATTTAGAAGATACCAGTTTGGGGTCAACTGTTCATTCTTCAGATAATGCTGATAAATAGGTCAATCAACTTCATCGTAATGGGCCCTGGCCCTGTCTAACTCCTGGGCCCTATGCAGCTGCTTAGGGCGATTATATTATTAATCCTACTCTGGTATATACTAATCTACAACATGAACATGGAGCTTTATTCTGGTTGCAGCATGTAATACACCCAAGACCTGTATGTTGCTAATATTCCATATTATTTAAAAAAAAAATGTTTACAGTATTTTTTAAAATATTTGTATGCATTGGTTTTTCAAGATCTGGCCCCAACAGATATGCTGAACTAAAAATCTCATAATTCTCTGGTCACCTATTGCATTTAAAGAATTCTTGGAGTTGAAGGCCAGAAGCATCTAGGGGTGGGGGGGAGGGGGGAGCAGAGTTTGGGATCCCTGCATTAAGCAAGTGCTACAACCAGGCCATGGTCATAAAACTATAATAAAACTATAATAAATAAAAATGTTGGCAAATAATGACTACTTAGTATTATTTTCACTTCATGGTCCCTGTTGATGAATATGATTTCTTAGTATATAAGTTCAGATAGAGTATGACTAAATGAAATAAATTCAGCCTTGAATGGCTTGCAGGAGGCATGGAGACTGAGTCTGGCAGCTGCTCTGCAGAGTACTACAGTTCAAACATTATCGTGCTGTGCTCAGAATGTAGCCCTCCCATAAGGAGAAATTGCATTCAGGGATGTAGGTCAAAACCTCATTAGTTAGATGCTAATCTTCTCGGACATTATCATGCAATAGATCTCTTGAATGGTGAAAGGGATACTAAGATACTTGGCTGGTGTTTGATTTGTCAGTGTCACCTTTAAAAAGGTAAAAATGTTTTAAACCGTTGATTAAAGCACATATTCTTCCTTATTCTAAATGAATGTTTTTATCTGAGTTTTCCCTTGAGAAGACTTGTCTAAACAGCTCTGTGACGGAGGAGCTCGGTTAATGGTGCATCCTTGGTTTCTCCGCTCATCTCTGATAGAAGACCAGGGTTAGGCAGAAATTAGTATATTCAATTCCAGGAGTGAATTTCAATCAGATGATGTTTTCCTACTGGGCTGTAAGTAGCTACTTGAGAATCTGTCCATAAGAGTGGTGTTCTAGAACTCTTCTAGAGGCCATCTCGGTCCATAATACCTCTCCGTGATGTGCAGAATTGTGATATTCTGCGTGAACGGATCTACCTTCTTTTACATACATTCATAAAGACTAGAATAGATAAATAAGCATGGAAGAGCAAGCGATAGGGAGACATGAGGAGCACACAAAGTATATCAAACCTGTTATACTGGACAGCTAGAATTAGGTTTCTTTAAGAAACCTGAATTCTGTACAGAACTGTAGAGACATGTTTGTTTAAGAGTAGATTTGGATGGGTGACCTATATAACTGGATACTGTAATGCTCAGCTAAGTTGGAGATGATCATATGTTGGATGCAGTTCTTTTTGGTTCAATGAATCCATACAGAATATCCTGTAGCATTATCAGTCTGGTTCTGCTCATAAGAACAGTACAGCGATGAAATCTTATTGCAGGAAACAACATTGCACAAGGAAGCACGAAGTCCCTGGGCATTTAAATACAACCGAAAAATATTATCAAAAGTGCATAAAACATTGTAAGGTTGCTCATCTGTGGTGCAACTTGCAATTAAATGTATTATTATTATTTCTATGATTGGAAGGTGGGAATATTGAATAAATGTTGGCATGTTGATGATCGGCTCAGCTACTGACTCTGTTAGCAAGCAGACCAATTAATGAGGTTTTACATCTCAAGTGCTCCTCTATAGGGATGCTGTAGTATTGCAGGGAAAAAAATTATAAAATATAAACACAGACATGACAGAATGTTGAAGTGATAATATAATATATTTGATAATATATCAAAACACAGGCTTCTACCAGTTGCCACAAATGTATCGTCAATTTCAATAATTTATTGATACATTTAAATCCTGACAAATATGAATTTTTAAAACCAATTGGCTACTCATTATTATTATTTATAAAGCGCCAACAAATTTTGCACTGCTGTACAGTGAATGGACTAACAGACACGTATTTGCAACAAGACGATTGGAAGCACAGGAACAAGCGGTATTGAGGGCCCTGCACAAATGAGCTTGCATTCTAGAGAGCGTTAGGTAAAGGGGCACAAGAGGTAAGAGTAGGATGCATTTCATGTACTATACTAGGTTGCTAGAATAGTTTACAATGTAAACTTAGGTTTTTTTTGTGACACAATTTCAGGAGAAGAAGGAAGGTGGGCTACCATGGTGCAAGGATGGAAAGCTTTTAACAGTTTAATTGATATGCTTTTGGTAAGAAATGCGTTTTCAATGATTGTTTGATGCAATGGAGACTAGAAGAGAGTCTAATGGAACAGGGAAGGGAGTTCCATAGGAACGGCGCAGCCCTAGAGATCTTAAAGCCTCATCCAAAAGTAATTTCCTATTAATTGCTAACCCTGTCTAATAAATAATTTACTGGTTCCAATCTAATTTGAGAACACGTTCACCACTACCTTGTCCTATTTATCGTAGATATTCAATATCCATTAATCAATATTGGAAACTACACCCTAGCGGCCAGATTCTCTTAGCAGAATAAAGGTTCACACTGCTTACTGAATAGAAATTTTCCAATAGACGTCAGTGGAGGAACTGCTATTCAGTAAGTGTAAGAACCACTCACCAGATGTTCCTCAAAATGTCAAATAATGCCTACCAGTGCTTTCATAATGAGTCCACACATTTACTAATTCACTCTTCTTATGCCAAAAAACATGCCATCTGCCATAGCTTTTTCCAAGAGAACCTATGCCTCTATGAACCAGATTCTAACTGAATACCAGTTATCCCATTTGTTTTTATAGAAAAGCTGCTAACCAATCACAAGAGATACAGTAAATGTAGTTTATCTAATAGAATAAAACCCTGTAGGGAACAAAAAAAGATTTTAAAAATGATGATTAGATCAGATTTAGCCATGATCCATACATTCTATTCATCCAATTTTATTTTGATGCTATATTGCATAGCTGTGTTGCTTATTCTCGAACATGTTCATTGCCATTGCATTATTATTTTTATGATACATGTTTATGTTTCTATACTATGCTACTATTTCTTGCAAGTACACATACTATTCACATAGTGTATTTGTCTTATCAGTTCATATCCCTCGTTTTAACATTCTGGGGGCTTGTTTTACTGTATATTATTAATGGTGTACTGTGTATTGTGGTAGATTACAATGTTATATTAAACATTTCTATAATGACATTTACTTTAAAAAATCTCTGCCGATAGATTGTTAGACTGTGGAATCATTTTAGTGCGCCCCAAAAACCATGACCATCATTGGAAACATTATATGTAAAGTTACATTCATTCTGTTCCATATTTCATATCCAAATGCCTGAATAGAGAGCAGCTTGCTAAGAGTAAAATAAATTAAACAAATGTATCCAAACAAAATCCAGGGCCAGTTGCATTTGTTTGATTTATTGCACTACAGCCTTGGCGGCCACGCTTTGTTCTTCTGTATTTGATACAGAGCCTAGAAGCAGTCTGTTATCGGAGCACCTTTACAAGTGAACTTATTTAGAAATGAATACTGAAACCAGGGCAGCATTGAATATAGACCCATTGGTAGATAGATAGTCAGACAGACAGACATGCAGACAGAAAAGCAGACTGATCAATCGACGACTGATAGACAGATTGATAGATGGTAATAGAGAAGGTGGCTGGATGGATTATAGATAGACCTACAAAAAAAGAGATGAATAGACAAGCAGATAGGGCTAGAGGCGGACAGACAGAGAGATAGCCAGACTGGTAGACAAACAGTCAGACTAATTGACAGGCAAACAGGCTGTTCGGTCCGCCCCCTATTCGTCATCATTGTGTAAACTTTGACCCTGTACCTCACAGTCAGCAGACACATTCCAGCCAATCAGCAGTAGACCCTCCCTCCCAGAGCCTCCCACCTCCTGGACAGCTCACTAAGAATGCAGCTTCACAATGAATTTAAAATGGATGCTGTCCAGGAGGTGGGAGGGTCTGGGAGGCAGGGTCTGCTGCTGGAATGTGTCTGCTGACTGTGAGGTACAGGGTCAAAGTTTACTCAATGATGACATAGGGGGTGGACCGAACAGCGCATATGTTCGCCGTCCGTGGCGAACCGTTCGGCGAACCGTTCGGGACATCACTATAGATAGACCAATAGAACAGGTGATTATCAAGGGGCAGATATATAGACAGACAGAGAGATAGAGAGATATATATGTAGATAGATATATAGATAGATAGATAGAAAGATAGATATATAGATAGATAGATAGATAGAAATTGACCAGCCCAAGTAAAAAGCCAGACAAATGGGCAAATAGATAGAGAGGGTTGCATGACACCACAGGTCAGAGTTTGCATGTAATAGTGACAAAATCCTTTGAGAATTTCATTTGCATAATTTTAGGACATCTCTAGCATCTATATTTTTTAATGTTTAATGCTTTTTGACGGAAAACATGTATCTAGCAGCGTTAGACACGTGTGCATTTTGAGTTCTTCATCTTTTCAGGGCATTTATTAATATTCAAATACAGGATTGTTTGCCAGAAAATAAGCTTCCCTGTGGCACTGAATGGATACAGTTACTATAACCCGCTGTATACCACCATCCCCTATTCTTTACCTCGTATAATGTTGTCACTGTTAACTCTGGTATATACTTTACATCTAAGAATGGGAATACCTGTGCGCTTCAATTAAGCCATGCTGATTCTTTCTCTCCCAGTTCATTAACTATCTAAAAAAAGATATCTTATTTACCACGTGTGTTTCTTGTCTGCTCTTAGTCACAATTTTCAGATTTAAAGAAAATGTATAGCTTTGATGCCCTTTACCACTCTTACTGCTTCCTGGCTAGCGAGGTTGCGAATTACCAATATTTGTAATATATTTTATAGCACTTCATAGCACTCTTTTTGAGCAATTAAAAATTGCAGCCAACTTGTCATAATTTTTGCAAGTTTTTGGTAATATATATATATATATATATATATATATATATATATATCACCAAATGCCTTTTAACTACTGGTTTACTAGCATCAGGTCACATGTGGACACTAGGACACGTGAACCAACTTTTTGAGAGAGTCTGGTTATTAGCTATCAGGGCCTACTTGTACCTGTAGTAGTATCAGGGTTATACTATTCATGAATTTCCATCAGGAGACCTCCCATCTCAAGCCATTTTGATATGTGTAATTGCAATCTTTAGAATTTTAAGGAGTGATAATGAAAGGTAGCAATGAGCAGATTGTTTTCATTATTCACTGCTTTTTACAGGTGTAGTTTGCTATTATAATTTATGAATTATTATATGGCATTATGAGTATTATATGGCTTGCAGCCATTTTGATTTTGTGCCATGCAAACTTTTGTTAGAAATGAATAAACCTGTAGAATAAAGTAACTTGGAGCAGCCATTTTGAATGCTTACAGCCTTCATCATGAATAGATTTTTTACCATTATTAATGAAGAAATTGCATCATGGAATATCCCGTACGATTCTAGGAACATTAACAGTTTGAGCCACCACCTTTATTCTTCACATAGGGATGGCTAATGGGGCCAAACAAATATGGTTTTGGAGCTCCTGCTTAAATGCTAATTCTTCTTGACCTCTCTGCTGCCTTTGACACTGTTGATCATGCTCTCCTTCTTCAAACTCTTGAATCACTCGGTCTCTGTGACTTTGTCCTTTCATGGTTTTCCTCTTATCTCTCCCAATGCTCATTCAGTTTCTCCTTTTCTAATGATACCTCCTCCCCTTGTTCTGTCTCAATTGGAGTCCCTCAAGGCCCCCTTCTATTTTCTCTTCATACTGCCTCTCTTAGCAAACTTATCACCTCATTTGGATTCCACTACCACCTGTATGCTGATGACACCCAGATATATATCTTTTCCTTGAACCTCTCCCCTGCTGTCCTGCAACATGTCACTGCTTGCATTTCTTCCATCTCTGACTGGATGTCCTCCTGTTTTCTGAAATTCAATCTCTCTAAAACTGAGCTCCTTGTCTTTCCTCCGCCTAATACTGATCCTCCTCTTGCGCTCTCCCTTCAAGTTAAGGGTATCCACATAAGTTCATCCTTGCAAGCGTGCTGTCTTGGTGTCATTCTTGATTCTGGCCTCACCTTTGAGCCTCACATCCAGTATTTTGCCAAATCCTGTAGATTCCATCCTAAAAACATAGCCCACATCTGCCCCTTTTCTACGCAAGATGCTACCAAGGAGCTTGTCCATGCTTTAGTAATTTCCTGCATGGATTATTGTAACCCTCTCCTAATTGGTCTTCCCAAAAGCTGTATTGCCCAGTCTGTAATGCATGCTGCCGCCAGACTGATTTTCCTCTCTAGTTTGTCCTCTCACACCTCACTCCTCTGTCAGTCCTTACATTGGCTTCCTGTATACTATAGGAGTCAATTCAAAGTGCTAACCCATAGCTATAAAGGACTGAACAATTCTAGGGCCTCTTATATCTCTTCACAGATCCATAGGTATGCCCCTTCTTGGTCTTTCGGCTCTGCCCGTGACTTTCTCCTGTCCGCTGCTCGCATCCGTACAGCCAACTCACGCTTGCAGGACTTCTCGCGGGTCGCTCCCTTCCTATGGAATAGCCTGCCTACCACCATCAGACTCTCCCCTAGTCTTCAATTGTTTAAGAAGTGCCTTAAAACCCATCTCTTTAGAAATGATTTAAAAAAAAAAAACCATCTCTTTAGGAAAGCTTATGGCCTCCAAGAGTAACCTCTACCTCTCCTAAAGGGCAGCACTTTACTCTCTCCTCCAGCTCTGCTTCACTCCCACCTTATTTGATTGCTATTTCATGTCCTAGTGTGTTTCATACCCCACCTCCTATAGACTGTAAGCTCGTTTGAGCAGGGTCCTCTTCATACTATCGTTCCTGTAAGTTTTCTTGTAATTGTCCTATTTATAGTTAAATCCCCCCTCTCATAATATTGTAAAGCCCTACAGAATGGTGCTATATAAATGACAAAAATAATAATAATAATAATAATATATCTGTAATATGTATATATATATAAATATATATATATATATATATATATATATATATATATATATATATATATATATATATATATATATATATATATATATATATACATATATATATATATATATAATATATATAACTATATATATTGTATATATATATTATTATAAAAAATAAATAATTAAAAATAAATAAAAATATTTTAAAAATTTTTTGATATATATATATACATATATATTTGTATTTTGTAACTGTAACTAACTGTATTTTGATATCAATATATATATGTATATGTATATATATTTATATCAAAATACATTTAGAATGAACAGATATATATATATATATATATATATATATATATATATATATATATATATGTATATATAAATAAATAAGAATAATAAGAAATATACATATGTCCATATACATAATTTCATAAATATACACGTAGACTTCAAACATATAAATATGTATATAAATATTTAAATTCTACATGCATATTTATGTAATATTTTGACACAATTAAGTAATTTGTATAAATTGCAATTTGGGGGACCTGACTACCCAGGCGGAAAGTCCAGAAAAATTAATTTGCTAGCACTATATTTAACCCTGTAACTTTCCAAGACACCCTAAAACCTGTACACGGGGGGGGGGGGTACTGTTTTACTTGGTAGACTTCGCTGAATACAAATATTAGTGTTTCAAACCAGTTAAACATATCACAGCGATGATATTGTGACGTGTTTTGCATTTTTTTAACACCCAAACAGCACTTTCACTGATGATATCATTGTTGTAATACACTTTACTGTTTTGAAACACTAATATTTGTTTTCAGAAAAGTCTCCTGGATATAACAGTATCCACCATTTACAGGTTTTATAGTGTTTTTGAAAGTTGAAAGCCAATCAACAAGCGTTTGACTCGTGTGCCCTCAGAAGCCATCACAGCCATGCCTACTAATGGCATGGCTGTGATTGGCCAGTGCAGCATGTGACCCAGCCTCTATATAAGCTGGTTACTTAGTATTATTAAATTATGCCCCTACTCGCTATACCGCGAGTAGCGGCATGTCTATTAAAAAAAAAAAAACATTCCCCCTACTGGGGGGGGCTTTTAAACTAAAGGGAGACCTGAGCGGCGGGTTGGGGCCCTAAATAACAATAAGGGGGGGACCTAATGTCCTCCCCCCGATACCCACCCTTGAGTGGTGGGTGGGGGCCATAAATAAGAATTTGGGGGAAACCTACTGTCCTCCTAAATAACAATAAGGGAGGACCTACTGTTCTCCCCCCCGGCCCCCACCCCTGAGCGGTGGGTGGGGGCCATAAATAAAAATTGGGGAGTGGACCTAATGTCCTCCCCCCCCGGCCTTCACCCCTGAGCGGTGGGTGGGGGCCATAAATAAAAATTGGGGGGGGACCTAACGTCCTCCCCCCTGGCCCCCACCCCTGAGAAGTGGGTTGGGGCCATAAATAAGAATTTAGGGGGGGACCTACTGTCCTCCCCCCGGGCCCCAACCCCTGTGCGGCAGGTGGGGGCCCTAAAAAACAATAAGGGGGGACCTACTGTCCTTCCCCCACTGGCCCCACCCTGAGCGGTGGGGGCCATAAATAAAAATGTACCCACCCAGGTGACTAGGGGTCTTTAAATGGTATATAATACATAATATTGTACAGTAAATGAGTAAGAGGAAAATTAGTTAAACACAAACACCGCAGAAATGTAAAAACAGCCCTGGTCACAAACAGTAAGAAAATTGAAAAGCTGCCTGGTCACTTAGGGATTAATAAACACACATAGACAACACATGGCAGTTTCTGCCTTTGTTTAAATTCCCTCAAAACCTGACAGTTCTCACCAAAATATTTGCAAATCATTTTTATTCAGTTTTGGAAACTGAGCAATGGCAGACATGTATTTGTAATTCAGAAACTTGCAAATAACATACAAGGAGAGATAAATAAGATGTGTTAAGGAACTGCTCAGGAATTAATTCTAGGCATGCTTACATTTAAGAATAATTCAGTCTGCTGTAGTAATGACTCTGTTACTGTAAACTGTAATTCAAATTCAAGCAACCAAATTTCTAATAGTTTTCTGTTTTCTTATTCAAATGTTGGGCATATAGCTGGTGGCAAATTACAACTTCAAGAATGTTTAGTAGCCAAAAACATAGTAAGCATATGGCAAAGGCTAAACAAGAAATAGTTCGCTTTAGAGGCAGTGCAAATAGACAAGAAACTTATATGGTGAACCTCACAACACCACAAAAATATGAACAACACACACTTATACAAAGTATAAGAAAAACAAGCTCCAAAAGATAAATTGTTAAAAAAAACACCAGCCAATCAGCCAATATATGCCAATCTAATATCATAAATGAGACATAGAAGTATATAGGCTTGTCTGCCCAAAAGGGGTTGAATCCATATGAGCTGTGCTTCAATCTGTGGCTGTATTAAAATTGCACTTACAAGAAGGCAGTATATCCAAGCATATCTCCACCTGAGGTGGACCTTGAGATGATCAAGATGAGAACAACTACCATTAAAAACCAAAATAGTAAAATTACAAACTGAGACATTCAAAGTAATAATGTCCCAAAATAAATCCAACGCGTTTCGTACAAAGCGTGGACTTCCTAAGGGATTTGGGACACTGTAGCACTTTTTGGTTTATGTATGGCTTTTAATTTCAGACCTGTGATCAGCTGGCGGTTGGATGTATTCCACCGTGGAACGGACTATTCACTTCTTGTAATATGAGGTAATTTCTGGCATCCTGATCTGGCTATATCCGTCGGAGTAAAGTTCATGCATGTGTATGTGCGAATCAAGTTGCACATGCGTACTGCATCCTTTCGGCTTAAAAATGAATAACATTGATTCACACAAATACATACGAAATCTGTTATATATGAAATCGCATATACGTACTGTGTGCTTTTGGATTCAAACGAACAAAACTAAAACACACGAATACATATGAAATCTCATGGATGGATTAGTAACAAGCATCCTGTTCATTCATTTTTCATTATTCATGACTTATAATGAACTTTAAGAAAGCCTGTACAGGCTTTTTTGTTATTCTGTCTCTCACTGTTAAAATGCACCTACCATTAAAATTATAGACCGATCATTTATTTTTCAATAGGCAAACGTTCAAAATCAGCAGGGGATCAAACACTTTTTTCCCTCACTGTATATAATGTTAAAACTAGATAAACTGTGCAAATGTAAAACTTGGGGCTCGCTGAGCACCATAACCACCATAGCACACTGTAGCACCATGCGGTTATGGTTCCAGGAGTATCCTAACATTGTGCAGTGGTTTTTCAAATGTTTTGACAATTACATGACATGGGAGGGAGCTTCTAGCACCATAACTACTGCAGTGCTGTGTAGTGGTAGAGGTTTGTAAAGTGCCCTTCCAGGCAGCAATAGTCAAAGCTGCCCAGAGAGATGATTTTTCTCTGTGATGTTCTAGGTTAACAATGGGAGATGTTGATCTGTATACTTTCTGGTATCAATAACCGTAGAGTAGAGAAAACAAGTTCATGTATTTTTACCCCAATTCTAGACTTCTTCAGAAGGCCCAGGACTGACACTTATAAATGTAATATTGTATCAGCAACGCAAACAAATATATGTTGATTCTTTTTCACATCCAAGAAACCTCTTGCATTTACAGGACCATGCTGACATTGAATGGAAATTTGCTAGAACAAAGCTATGGATGAGTTACTTCGACGAAGGCGGGACCTTGCCACCTCCTTTTAATATCGTTGTTAGCCCAAAATCCATCTGGTACTTTTGCAAGTGGATCCACTCTCAGCTGTGTCCTGGCAAAAACTGTGAAGATATACAGAAGCAACACGAGAATCTCAAAACCTTCACCGTAAGAAGCAATCACTTTTTAAATAACAATTCTTTATTAATAATGTACTAATCTCTAACTGTTTTACAAGCCTACATGGCTTTTAGCTGCAAATTCCATGTTCTATGTCTTACCATCCCCTTTCTCTTCACGGCCACCAGGGGACCTCTTGAAACATTTACATGGTGACTAAATTGGTGAAAGCTTAATTCATGTATGCATTTTTAATTACAGGAACGACACGCTGACAACCTGATTCAGAATCAGCATTATCAGGTAACCTCTGCTCTATTACATCGTTACAATGCTGTTTTTTTCCGCAGTACTTGATTAAAACATTTGTGACAAGTAAGATTAGATCGTCCATTACAGTACAGTCTGTTGGACACTGTATGCTCCCTACTCTGAATAAAACATGCGTTGCTTTTACAGCAAATGTCGGTAAGTAATTTTTTTCTGGCCCGCTGCCTGTAGAGCAGGTTCATGTGATTCAAGCCTTGCATTCAGTAAAACAATTGTTTATTCTGTGAAAGAGGTGACGAGACGCATTGGGACAACATTTTGACAATCTGAACTACGAAGCCAACAATCTGTATTTAGTGTCGGCTACAAAGGTAGACAAAAAGATTTTAAATAAAGTTCAACAAACTGCTGAGATTTTACTAGATAAAATGCATCAAATGTTAGGTCCTAGTTTAAATATAGTTTGAAAAAATTATTTTTGCAATAAAAAAATAAGGTATTAAATTCTAATAAAAAAGAAAAACAAAAAAAGACTAAAGTTCTATTGCCTTATGGATGAAAAATTAAATAAATATGTAAGATCAAAAGGAATTCAAAATTAATTTTAAAAATATTTATAACAGGTGTGAATAACGTATTGTTTCATGTGAGTAATTGAGTGATCTGCTTTTTTACATAATTATGGAACATAAAGTCATGGTTTTCATTTTAATATCTTAGCTGCATTGGGACACAGCTTAGTACATATATGTTCAAGGATTTGGAAGAATAAAACATTACAGGAATTCCTTAAACTTTTACTATGTATATTCTCCGGATCTTATTAAACATATTGTAATATGATTGTATTTAATGTAAGAGATTTCTTTAAATCATATAGGCCATTTCTATGTTATGTCTGATGCTTCCTGTTTTAGAAAGACTACAACTCCCATATTGCATAGCAGAGGCCATTTCACCGAAAATCGACATGACTAATGACAACAAATTATTAAAAAATGTTCTGTGTTCTCTGATGTCTTAGGAGGTTATCAGAAATCTGGTGAAAAGATATGTTGCAGCAATGATCAGAAATTCAAAAACCAATGAAGGTCTAACAGAAGAAAATTTTAAGGTAATGGCAGAACCAAATGATTGCCAAATCCATTTTAAGCATGTGCACTATATGTAAGATTATATCTCCGGATTGTATATTGAATTGACCCATTCTTAACAGAGGATGTCCCAAGCAGCCAGGGGTACTAAGGAGATGTGAGGAGTGAAGGGTAATATGAGCAGAGGCTGGAATTGTAAAAGGAGAGAATTTGGAACTGTGGTGTTTCAGGGAAATACATATGGGGCTGGTTTGTAAGAAGAGAGAGACATATGAGACAAGGATGGGACATAAAAAGTTGTAAATATGAGGGGAGAATGAGTAAAGATATGGATGTGTGAGAGACAATGAGCTTCTGCATGTATGTCTGTGTACACAGTTACATGGATGAGTATGTCTGCGCGTATAAGGGAAATGTGTGTGTGTGTCTGTGTGTCTGTGTGTATGTATGTATCTATCGATCTTTCTAGGTAAATAGATAAAAAGTGGTAACCAGTATAATCAATGAAATGGGCAGCTACATACAAAAAAGCGACTAGGCAAATAAAATCTTAAATTCAAAGTATGTAGTATGTGCGCTGCAAAGATGTAGGTGGGTAAAAGAAACAAATAATGTTCCTATAAATAAAAAAATATATATATATAATAATGTACCTAATTCTTGTACTTGTTAGTAACATAAACTTCCCAAATGGGGAAAAAACAGCAATGGTTTCAATTTAAACAGAAGCAGCCTGTTGCAGCCCAGAGTGAAAAGTTTACGATAAGCCAAGAAAAATGAGTAACTAAATGCTGCAAAAATAAGCAGAACCTCTCTCTGACAGGTCTATTGCTAAAACAAGAAAACCGTAAACAATATAAATACTTAAAGGATCACTATAGTGTCAGGAAAACAAACTTGTTTTCCTGAGACTATAGCATCCTTAGGACCCCCCCCCCCCACCCTCCACCCTCAGGGTCCCCCTCCCTTGGCGCTGAAGAGGTTAAAACTCCTTCAGTTACTTACTTTAATCCAGCGCCTGGCTCCCTCGGCACTGGTGACCTCTCCTCCCCCGCCGACGTCAGCTCCCGAGTGGAGCGGAATGCGCATGCGCGGCAAGAGCCGCACGCGCATTCAAACAATCCATAGGAAAGCATTTCTCAATGCTTTCCTATGGACGCTCTGCACGATGGATGCGAATTTCGCATCCAGCATCGCAGAAGTGCCTCTAGCGGCTGTCAGGAAGACCACCACTAGAGGTTGGATTAACTCAGCAATGTAAACATAGCAGTTTTATTGAAACTGCTATGTTTACATCTGAAGGGTTAAAATCTGGGGGACCTGGAATCCAGACCACTTCATTGAGCTGCAGTCGTCTGGGTGACTACAGTGTCCTTTTAAATCTGTACTCCTCTATTAGAGGAAAAAATACATAAGAATCAGATATACATAAAATACATAATACTATTAGAAAAGCATTAAAAAATCATAAAAAATGTGTGCCATATAATCAAGTGTTAGTGTCACAACGAAATTCCACTGACACACTAAATATTAAAGTACCTCACCTTGGGAGGGAGTTACTTGGAGGTAATTTCCCTTTGCCAGGCAACAGTATGTTCTAATTGTATCAGAGCTTGTTGTTCTTTTTGACTAGTCTCTGCAAACCCACTTTGAAGTATAGTCAAGTCAGTTTATTTATTGTTTGTAATTGTTTTTTAGTTGATCACTGAATCACTATAACTACAGTCTGTAGCAAGTAAAGTATTTTCCAAAATAAAAAAATTTAATAAAAATAAACTACAGTATATGACCATTTCACCTGTGCCAAAGAAACAGTAATTAAAAGGCAAATATATACAATACATCGAAGACACAAGACACAATCATAGCTATTAAAAAATGTTGAAAAAAAGTTAATTAACACGGCTAGATCCTTGACTCTGACAAATCACATAAGAAAGTGCACTTTATCATTTAAGCTCTGAATATTGTGTCTTGCATTTTAATCACTACTTTGCTCATCAGTCACAATAACTTATTATTGCTCAAGTTAAGTCTCATGGAATAGCATTGCTACACATAATCCAAACTAAACAATACATATTTCATATTCCCACAGACTGTCCTTGAAACCAAAATCCCTCTGTCCCTTATTTTCTTTAATGCTCACTCTTTTTTTCCCAGCTGATTATGTCACTTAAAAATGCTTGGCAATGCCCACCCCAAGAGTTATCCTCTAAGTCAAAGTATGCCTCTGAGTATTTGAAATTCTGAAGCTTTGATATCTGTTTGAAAATGACATGATATATCATATATACAGACTAACTTCAGATCATGAGATATTAAAGGAACACTTCAAACACCATATTCAGTACAGCATGCCCCATTGTAAGGAGTCAAACCAATTTTAAATGGTTTGACTTCTTATATGAGTCTGCCAGGCACCACTTGCTTCCTCAACCATCAAGTAGAGAAAGATTACGATCCCACAGGACTCTAGATAATTATCAGTTTCGGACTCAACATTCTTCACATAATTCTGGGACCCGATCCTCGAAGGTCATCTTATAGTTAATTATACTTTGCTACCATCCCTAGAGTGGTAGGTCTCCTGAGCTAAGCTCAACAGTGTGGGGATAGCTCATTGGCGAAGAACATTAGCAGATGTAGGCACTTGCCCCCGATGCTGCTCACTTTTCGCGTTAACCATCAACTAGGAATTTACTTAATAAGTCGTTTCAATTAGTGCTCTCCAATGCAAAAGTATGGGAGCAGCAAGTGAACAGCAATCTACACCATTGCTGAACAATTGTCAGGAGTAATTTAAAATCCTCGCCTCTCATTTTTTTTTTTTTTTTTATGATTACATGCAACATTGTCTGATCTATAGACTTAGGCTGTCAACCTACAATACGCAACTGTTTATTGTGTAAACCCCTATGTGCGCCTTAATTTTGCAATATTTTCCAGTTAGTATGTGTGACAACAATGTGACATATTTAGTTATACATGGATACACATAACCGCAGGGGATATATTTTATCTCCTCATTGTTGGTCTTCTCACACCTTCAGGTTCCACAGGAAAAAGCCATGCTGCCAGGAAACATGCTTTATATTACCTTTGTTTACCCCGTATACATTTGTATCTTTTCAAAAATATAACACCGATCAATATTTTAAAATACTTTAAGCTCTTGTGAAGTCAGTAAACTAGCAATAAAACGCACCCTGAAAAGCATAAGATAACTTATTAGTGAATATTAATTAATATTGACTTTATATATGTTTTCATAAACACTCACATGCTAAATAGAAAGATATAGATACGTATACATGTGTATATCACTGATGATGATATACAGACAGCCAGACAGGCAGGTAGATATAAATATAGAGTTAGACAGATGGACAGACAGACACAGACAGAGACAGAGACAGACACAGACAGACACAGACACAGACACAGACACAGACAGAGACAGACAGACAGACAGACAGATAGATAGATAGATAGATAGATAGATAGATAGATAGAAATAGATAGGTAGATATCAATTAACAAGTTTTGTACTGAGACATCTGTCTAGTACTTGATGCATTATTGTGAAATAATAAAAAATATCACCCACTTTACTCCCTGCGGTTTTAATTTAGTTATTTAAACGTATAAATGAGAAAAGTACTTTGTATACATTCGAAAGAACAAAGGAAGAAAGGATATTTCTTTGAAAATGACCCCACATTACTATCTAGATAATAATATTTGATTTAATGGTGAAATGCTCACTAGTACTTGCTTCTAGGGATCCTTTGAGACATCATGTCGTCCCTGATGATATTTTCATTGTATGACCACATACAGGGAAAACAGGATTTAAAGATTTTTCAAGCTCAAGTTTATATTATTTTCCATCCCTTTTTTTATTTAGCAATTCCCAGTGTGCTATGACTTCTCTTCTTCTATAATAACACTTTGAGCAGCTTCTCGGGGCACTGAGATACAATACGTGCAAATTATACTGTACATGTCGCTCTCAAGGGACTGTGGCTTAAAAAAAATCCCTGTTATATCAGACGTAATGCATGGAGAAAAAAATTGTGTTTTCACTGGCTTGCTAGAGTGTATGTATTTTTTCTAAGTCACAAATACACAATTATATAATAAACAGCAAGTAAATTGTTCTGATGTCATCCTTTTGGATATAATGGCTTAGAATTAAAATTGTGGGAATAACTGCGTAGTCAGATTAAAACCACGCTCTGCTTTAAAATGTGATTAAAAGACTTCCCAGTGTGTGCCCTTTAACAAATTTCCAACCACCTACCCAAGATTTTCAAGATTTTCAAAGATAAGTTGCATTTTCTATAGATTTATACAGCTCTTTTGACGCAAGTCACACTTATCCAGGCACAGAGATTTTTGACATTGAAAATTGTACATTTGAGCTAAAAATTACAAGGAACATTTCACAACATATAACCAAAAAACATGTTGGTTACTCCCCATACACCATAAACATAAATGTATCAGGCAAGTTTTTAGTACGTATGAGAAGTAGATCTCTGAAAACTGTGCATATTGTACTCTTTCAATGCAGAATTAAAAATGAATAACCCAAAATTATATAATTAGTAATGAGATATCACCTACATTGTAGACAATATTGGTAATTCGAACATTTAAAGAAAAAAGCCTATCAGAGTTATTTTAATTATGTTTGTCTTTGTTCTAATGCTGCCACATTTTCAAAGTGCATAACCTCAGTAATTAGAATGTTACCAGAATCGGTCTCATTCCTGTGATTGCATCTGTCATTTGACTACATTAGGACTTCAAGTTTCTGCAGTCAACGGAGCAAGAATCTTCTACCTATGCCTTTGGCAATACGATAGTCAATTTGAACTTTATTAGTCTATCTTAGTAATTATTCTCAGCAATAAGTACTCACTCTAAAGAAACACATAGATAATCCTTGCTGAACACTGCATCTTAAAGTCTAATGTGTGCCAAGCTTTTGATGGTGTTAATTTTATTTAATTGCAGGAGCTAAAACAGGATATATCTAGCTTCCGGTATGAAGTGCTTGACCTTCTCGGAAATAGAAAACCACCAAGGAGGAGCTACTCAACTAGCAGTACAGAGGTATCCCAAAAAGATGAGGCTGCAGAAGATCAGGGCAAGTCAAAAAGTGTCTCCTTCAGCATTGCCAACAAAAAAAAGAATTTCAATGTCTCAGCCCTGATTAAAACAATGTCTGGGATTGAAATTGTGGAGGATGCACCCAAGAGTAATGGTATTAATAAGCGTTCCTTCATCCGGAATGGCAACAAACTACAGAGGCTTTCAAGTTCCAAGAAGGAGTCTTTCAAAAGACTTGGTCTACTTTTCTCCAAAATGAATGGGCATATGCCCGAACCAGCTTCAGAACCAGTATACACCATCTCTGATGGACTTATCCAACCACACTGTATGTGGCAGGACGGAAAACAAACTAAAACTGATCAAGAGACAGAGTGCTCTAGAAGTGAAATTAACCTCAATGAGGTGAGTCATGATGGGAGCATTGGTGGACAAATTATTGACTCCTCTCCCATTTGTACCAATTCTCTACACTGTGCTTCCAACCTTTGCTCCTCTAGCGCCAAGCTGATAGACTCTACAGAAGACGTATTTGACTCTTGGGGCGAGGCATGTGACCTACTCATGAACAAGTGGAAAGATGGACAAGAAGAGCAGGTCACAACAAGACTATAAGTAAATACTATTTAAGACTGCTGTATAAAAATTAGCAATCATATGTTTGTAACATTTTCCTTTTACAGAGTATTAAAAAAAGATAGGATTCCCTCCCTATTCACATGAATGAGTGCGGAATTCCATTGACAGTGATATATTTTGCAATATTTTTTTACCATTTTTTGTTTGCTTTTTATAACATAGCGTAAACTAGCTACTAGTTTTTACCGTCAACCCTTCAGCATCGGCAGGGCTCTGAAAATATGGCTGAATAATATATTTTATGGCTACTTGAGGAATCCAGTTAATGCATTTATGAAATAGAAAACAAAAGTGCAGAATATGTCTGGTAATAATGGCTATGGCTTTAAATTGCAGCCACCTGTCTATTGATCTCCTCTATTGTTTATCAAAAAAACTATTTTCTGATGTAGATTTATTGTGATGCTATTTCACTCACCATTTTAAGATTTCATATGACCATGCAAGGCAAGGTGATCTGATGGTCATGTAGTTTATTCTGCGAAGTACACATGAAATAGAGTAATTCATACTTCAAGTAGATTTTTTTATTTTTTTTAAAAACAGAAAACCATAACAAAGAGCATTTATTTGTGTTAGACAAAATGTCTGTCTGAATGTTCACGAAGTCCGGTATCAGCTGAAAACCTGCTTTAAAAAGAAAAATCAGGTTGGTTAATACACATTGGATTTATACAATTGGATATCATGCATATCAATATCCATATATGGGGTAAATATTATCCATTATTTTAAGATCTAAAAGTAAATGGAAAAAAAAGGTTTCATTTCATTTTATTGAAAGCAAAATGGTCTATGTAAAGAATTTTACTATCTTGTCCTTAACTCATTTATCAAAGCTCCAGATATTTTAAGCACTTTGCTCTAGTCATATCTATAAACTTTATTAATAAATTAGCAAATGAACATTTCTTGTAACCATTTTGAGGAGAACAGGTTGGTATAATGATAAGTGTTTACCGACTAAAATGGGCAAAATATATGGACTTCAAGAGGCATTTAAACCATAACCTTGCATTGTAAAGAAATCATTTTCAGACTCTAACGTGATGAAAAAAATATCCTATGTTTATCTTATGTTTATACCCTTGCTACAAAAAAAATAATTGTTAAGGTAATTGTATAAATTACATACACGTGTAAAATCATAATCATTTATCATTTTTGTGGTAGGTCCCTAAGTCATATTTTTTAAACAAAAACATCCTTCTGCTGGTCTTATAAATAACAGCTTCAATCAAAAAATATTTGAAGGCAATTCCATACTATATGTAAAAGCAATGAGGGTAGTTTATCAAGGTAGAAATGGATGTGATTCTGGGGCTAAGGGTTAAATAAGGAGCAGTCATAGTGGAAACAAATACCTGTCTGCCTTGATAAATCTCCCTCACAATTGGATACCATGCTCCAGTTTTGTGTTTTCATGCATACCATTTTTGTGTTTTCATGCATACCTTTTTTTTTTATGCCAGTATATGAATTCCGAAAAGCACATCATTAGACCAAAGGCTTCCATTTAAGAACACTCATACCTTTATAAGAAAACCAACATACATAGCAGCCAATATGAAGACAAGTATAATAGGCCATCCTATAAAAGGTTTCTCAGGGTAACTCAGACTTTGCCAAAAGGAATGCATACTGTACATTTTTAATAAATGTACCACCTTTTGTGAATTGTTACTCTTTCTTACCCAATTTCTTTCTTTTCTGAATCACAGAACAGGAGAGCATAACAATAGACAACATGTCCAATCCCTTCACCTTCTCTACTTTGAATGAAGAAACTTAATACAAACAAGCAAACACAACATATATGAACATATTATGATGGAAGCCATACATTTGTAGATAAATGTGTAGTGATATATGTTTAACTACTCTCTAAATATCACTTAATGTTCTATAATTCACCTAGTCTGACTATTATGTGCAAATGTTCCTAGTAGCCCTTACAAAGACCAAGTACCATAGTGATTGGTTTAATCATGATTTTCTATTTACCCCGATGTTCCACCCAAAATAGTTATTTAATATTAGATATCGACTTTACCTAAGAAGTTGCTGTCATTTGTTACATTGAAATCAATCCAAAACCATGAAGTTGATGAGGAAAGCCCTATTTATTTTGTACATCTCTAAGGATGAATTCTTACTTTTATTGGAATATGGGTATACATTATTCTATCTGATTGTGATGTCATTGCTTAAGAAGTAATTTATCTAGAGACATCCAAGTTGTATTCATAAATCACTTTACAGACAAATATTCTTTCTACAGGTGTACATAACCTGATATAAAAAAAGTGTTTCTGGTGTGACATGGATATTTTGATAAATTAGTACATTACAACTTGTACATGAATTGATGGTAGGGATAAGGAAAATGTGAACGTAACTTTCCTTTTAAATTGCATATTTCCCCTTAGTATTTCAGTTTGGCACGTATGTGTGCCCATCAAGTTATTTTAATGACAATAGTAGCACCAAAAGCATGCTAGGGTACCCCTATTTATAACTCATATTTATCTTAATAGCAAGAATAGCAGAATATTTGTATGAAAGGCAATATTTTCAATGCCCATTGTGTAGGAATGAATGAATGTAATGTGTCGTCATATGTTTGTAGAATAGGGCTGCAATACATACATGCAATAAAACATGCAATGTGTCCGTGCATGGATGTAGTATGACAAAGCATGTATTGATGCATGTATGTAGTTTGATACGCATGAAGAGCATTTCGCCACCTCTTGACCACAGTTATCACATATTATCCTCCCTATCCTGCAGCCTATTCAAATATAACATTGCTTGTTATGTAACATCATCCACCCCATCTATCAGTGTCATAAAATGTTCTCCAGCATCAACCCAGCTCTTCTTCCCCTTTACCCCTTCCATGCTCTGAAATTATTAATTCAACATCAATTAAGCTTCTTTTATCAATCTTCCGTAAACATTACCCCACTTCTCCATCACCGACCACCTACTCCATTACCTATTCTCCTTCACACTCTGCCCATTTTTTTTACTTCCAGTAGTCACTGTTTCTACACCTTTCACTAGCGCCCTATGCCCACTTTCCCCAACATCACATCTTTTCCTTATCTGTCATACCACCTCCTTCTATATCAAGTTTCTCTCCCTCATAAGCGTTATTCTCCAACTTTAAGTTCAACAATACCTGTAAACATCTGTAAATCTGTCTGCATCATTTTCCAGCATCACTTTGTCTTATTATCTTCCTATGTCAGCCACCATGCGCCAACATACCAGTCCTGATCCAACATGTTTCTTTTTTTGTTTATCTTCAGCCATAACTCTTCCTATATCATAACTTCTCCCTCTTTTAAATTCACACTCCTTGTCCTTCACCTACCTTCTCTCCCCCTAGCAAATTTTCTTAAAGACAAGTGAGTGCGGCTTAGTATTCACTCCACATGTTTCCACAGGCAACCGACTATTCTATCCCATAACCGAATTTTCTATCCCATAGTCTATGACCAGGCTATGGGATAGAAAAGAGTGAGTGCTTGTGTGCTTTGAAAGGCATCTGTGATGTAAATCTAGCCATGTTGGGAAGTTCCAGATGCAAGTTTCTTTAGTCCAAGATCTCTAGAATAGGTGGTGGCAGCAGCTTTTTTTTTTCAAATCTTGAAAGGAGGGTGTTGGGCAAAGGGATTGTTCTGCACCCCTTTCCCAAGTAGTGTGGCAAGACAAGGATGCGTTGAATACCTGGCAAGATAGAATGATCTTGTTTCCATCTATTTTTTAATTGATATCCCAGCTTGCATACTTCACAAAACTTGCATAGACAGGTGGCGTTACAACTCCGAATGGAGTTTGGGGTAGGGGCCATCGAGTTTTGCTTTGGGCTGAAGTCCCATGTGTGCCCCATGTGTCAACACATCTACAACACATTGCAAAAGATACTATATACGTAGCTTGTCTAGAACTCTTTTGGATTGAATGAGAGATCCTTCACCCAAATGCCAGTAGCAATAAAGTAACAGGAAACAAATGTTAGTGATTAAGATAATTGACTGGATAGAAGTACAAAATATATATGTTTAGTTATTGAGAAAACAAAAGTGATTTACTAACATACTAACCCATCTTCTCTTTACTGGGTTGAGATACCCTGCTTTAGTTGTATGCTCATAGTACAGGACAAATGTGGCATTGCTGACTGTTGACATATATATATCCTGATGAACGTTTTCAAGTAAATATGAAATGTTGAACATTTAATAAAAGTTAAGATTTATTTTTTAAACAGAAACCTAGAGTGCTATTCTAAAGTGCTATTTATTTTTCTTTTAAGTGTCAGTGTTGTGCGGATTAAGTAAGTCAAGAAACAAGGCAATCAGTGTATATAAGTAAATGAAATCACTTTAACTTTATTAACAGTTAAAATAATAGGATATATTATAAAATAATACTAAACAATACATTATATATTTACTGTTCATTCATTTTAAAGGGGTAACCCCACAATGATGAAAGGATTATTAAGCAAGATTTATGGCAAAAAGGGACACCAGAGAAAAAAACTAACTGTTGTGCATTTGGAGTCCCAGATACACAAATAGTTGGGTACTGTAAATGAATCCACCTATGTGTAATATGGTGTGTTAACAAACCTAGTTTATATCCACAAACCAAGAAAATTCTTTAAGATTCGGAAAATGCTCTGATCTCAGTAACTTATTTTTCTTTTTTAACTTTATTTTCGTAAATATATATATATATATATATATATATATATATATATATATATATATATATATATATACAGTATATTTTACCAGAGTGTTAAGACTTTCAGATGTACTATAACTCATAACATTTTTTTTTTAAATAAGACTGTTTAATTACAATTAAAAATAACACTAAGTGTTGTAGCCAAATATTGGGCCTCAGGGATTAGTTTTTATTTCCAGGTGGGAAATCACTTCATAAGTGGCTTCCCCTCAAACCATGGGTTTTCTATATACTTTTAGCCAAGGCATATGACTGTTGGATAGAAAAGTACTAGTGAAAAGTCCAGCACTTTATTAGACGTTAGGTTTGATAAATGATCTGATAGTCTGAAACGTTACCTGTTTTGCTATCAGCACTGAATCAAGGAACACTGTGGTATTCAAAGGTTTGCACTGAGCTTTTCATTATAACTTTACTATTATATGACTTTTGGAGGAACGGACGTCCATGCACCCTTTTCAGTAAATCCCTTTATTTTATCTGCTACTCACCATCATTAGCCAAATCCAACTTGTAAGTTCTTTTGATTGATGTAGGGAGTCTGTTATAAGATCATGTGTTATTTGATATTAATTTTCAGTATATGTTAAATTATACCAAACGTGTAGAAGTTCCAGTAGGAGAAACTTAAACCTTGTAGGCTGTATACCCGCCTTTATGGAACTGGGAACAGAGTCACCAAGGTAATTCATGTTTATTTTATTATTCTAATGCAGGAGTAGGCAACTCCAGATATCTTGGACTACATCTCCCCTGATGCTTTGCCAGCATTAATGGAGATGTAGTCCATGACATCTGAAGTGCCAAAGTTTACCGACCTCTGTTCTAAGGTGAACCAAATACAGAGCTTTGCGTTATGCGTTTGATGGCTTTCCCATTGTTCCTATCAAAAGGTAATTGCTAGAACACCTCTCAAAATATTTAGTACTGTTAAAGCGAACTGTTATTATTTTCTCTCTGTTGTTTTGTTCCCTAACCTCACTTAAAGATGTTATTTTCCACTGCTTGTGGAAAACGATTAATTGTCCATATTAGCTATTATGAGAATTCCGGCAGATAAACAATTACTCCTTATGTTTTGTTCTTTTAATCTCTAGGCACGGCGTGAGGTTTGCAATAACATTAAGAAGAGCTAAAAATGGACCTCATTTAGTAATTTAGTAAAACAACAACAATGTATCGTATCTAATACGGTTTTCAGAGTTTACAGAGGAAGATATTTATTATCAATCTTTTATTAGCTGCGATTTAATTACCTTCAAAAATGCGAATCCATCTCCGTTACCATGCCTATTCTTTGAACGCATTAGAATTCTGACAAATATCTATCATTGCCATAATAAACTGCAGCCATCTTAGCTACCTTATCACATCTTGTATGAATCAGCTTTTGATTTATTAGAAAAATATGAACTGCAGCCATCTTAACTTCCCTGTCACACCTTGTATGAATCAGCTTTTGACTTATTAGATGAACAAATCATCTAGATCCTCTTTCCTATTGTTCTGTCTATGTTTACTGCTCTACCGTCTACCGCCTTACCCAATGGTACAAACCTCTGGCATATGTTGATGCATCATGAATACTAATGATATCTACACAGTGTATACCAACACTTCACAGGCAATATTTCATTGCAAAAAAATTAACAGAGGGTAGGTTTCTAGCATGTATTATCCAGATGTGAAGGCAGCTCGAAACACCTGAACCGGAGTCTTTCCTATCCGGCCGTTAGCGTTCTGTAATAAAATGTTCGTGGGCTGTAGGAAGCCCAAACTAAGATTATAACTTCAGACAAATTTCTAGGTTACAACTCCAGAGAATACCATAGTCAGTCATTCCCAATATCACAACTTTAGAATGAATTATTACAGAACATATACAAGAAGGAATGGTTTGTAAGAAGCCCAGTCTCATATGACTCTAGTAACAGTCCGTTTTCGTCATACAACTTCATAAAAAGCTATTTCTGAACATTGCTCCAGAATACAAAGACAGTAGGCAGAAGAGTCAGAGATCAAAACTCCAGTACAGCTCCAGAATGAACCATAGGTAGGCCAGCCTCAGAGTACAGCTCCAGAATGAACCATAGGTAGGCCAGCCTCAGAGCACAGCTCCAAAATGAACCATAAGTAGGCCAGCCTCAGAGTACAGCTCCAGAATGAACCATAAGTAGGCCAGCCTCAGAGCACAGCTCCAGAATGAACCATAGGTAGGCCAGCCTCAGAGTACAGCTCCAGAATGAACCATAGGAAGGCCAGCCTCAGAGCACAGCCCCAGAATGTTCTTGACACATGTCCAATTTCATTTCCCCAGTATTGTACAATGGCAATGAGTACTGGGTCATAATATTTAGGTTCTGTTCTAGTTCTAGAATGAGTTCAGATTATATGGTATAGAATTTGCACTGTGATAGCTCATCAGGATGCATTGTTTTGTACTTAAACCTCAAAGTATCAAGACAAACATATCCTAGATCTGCTTTTTCAATGGTGAGTTATGATTTTGTCAGCTAGCTGTACAAAGAATCCATCCATTCCATGTTTGGAATCATTTTGCAATCGCTTGTTAACAGTTAGGAATTGCCTATTTATAATGTGTAAAGAGAATGAATGTTAAACTAATAATGGAGTAGTCAAACACCTGTGTGCATACATTATACTAAGGCAAAGAGATTAAGTGTATGTTCTATTCTTTTTAACATTTAATGGGATTCTAGTCTAGAGAAAACACATTAAAAGAAGATAACTCCACCAGTCGTTAATTAACATATTAAGACAGTGACAATATTTTATTAAAGATCATAATACAAGCCCAAATTACATTTCACACATGATTAAAGTATATTTAAAAAGGTTCTGCATTCTCTCTTCATTATCGTCCCCTACACATTTTGTCTATCAATATTTATATTAACCATAAGTATTTATTTTCATTGGATTCATTTTTTTTTTGTCAATTTAATGGCATAGTAATTTTCATAATTTTAGAATATTATTTAAAAGTTATTTTTAAAATCAACGGTTGTTAAATATCCTAAACACTATCGAACTTTGTATTCTGAAAGTAATCAGATATAATTGTCAGAAATAGAAAATGTCGCAAATGTTTATTTGCCAAAAGTGACGTACCTACAGATAGAGGTAGTCAATGTACAGTAGGACAGAGAGCTTACAGGAAGAGTCCACGAACGTATTTTGAAAACCAATGCAAATTACCCAACAAAACCAAAAATGAAAATTAGAGTAAATTATATATACAGAGAGTCATTTACGCAATTAAATATTGGGAAAAAAAACATAGCATGTAAATCCTGAGCCTAATACTCACATATAGAAATTACCTTACAATTCGTGTCATATGACAAATTAAGAGTTAACATAGACAGAGTTATTCAAAAATGAAAATTAGAGTAAATTATATATACAGAAAGTCATTTACGCAATTAAATATTGGGAAAAAAAACATAGCATGTAAATCCTGAGCTTAATACTCACATATATGAATTACCTTACAATTCGTGTCATATGATAAATTAGGAGTTAACATAGACAGAGTTATTCAATAAACTGGGAAACCTAGATAGAATTATTCTCTAAAGTGAAAATTCGAAGGGAATTTCAAATGTAAAGCCAAAATGCTTTCAGTTTGACAATTTTGGCCGTAACGGGTTACTCCAAGCACCAAGACCACTTAAGTGATTTGAAGTGGTCATGGTGCCTAGAGTCTAATTAAACCCTTTGCTGCAGGAGGTGTTACTGGCTAATGTCAATTCTGTGCAAATTTCTACGTACAGAATTGCTGACGCTCTCAGCCAATGAATGGCCGGTAGGATCGGCATCCGGATTCTGCAGCTGCAGGTCACAGCTAATGGGAGAGGACTCCTAGTGTCTGGAAAGATCAGGTGGGAGCACAAACTGTTGCAAACCGTTGTTTTTATTACCAGGAAACAGTACACTTGGCTGTAGTGGTTAAGGTACTTGGAGTAATCCTTTAAATTAATATTCACTTTGATACTGACATGGGAAATGCAAATAACAGGCCAAAATGTTTGAAATTGAATCATTTTCTGGTTATTTTTTTTAAATCTATTTTAATATTAATGGGAAATCCCCTCTTCATTTCCAAGATAGTAAAATAATTTGCGTGTCTTTTAAGATTCAAATAAGATTATTCATTCACATGGTATATCTGCTTTTATTTTAAATAGTAAGACCTGTATAAATGATCATATGAACCCTTTTTAATGTGAAGGATGGTCAATTAAAGTGCTAGTCTTCATAGCAGACAAAGAAAATATGCATGAAACAGTTACTTTTATCCTTTGTTTAGGAGCATTCTAGAGAAGATTTAAACATAATGGAGCTTGCTTTAATGACTTACTATGACAAATACTTTGCTTGTCAAAAGCCCTGGATATAATGCAGAACTAAGAAAGTTAATTAAAATGTCAGATGTTTTTAAAGGTTTGTCTCACTGCTAGGATTTTACTTCTAGCCATGTTATTATAGGGTATGAACTAAAAGGATTAGAAATATTTTAACTAATTTCATAGTTTAAATTATTACTTTTTTTATTGACATAAATATATACTTTAGGGTCTGTTACATGTGCAGTTATTTTGTCTGCCAATCTGTTCTCAAGCAGAAATATTCTGAATATTTCGATGCATGTGAAATTTATTTACTCAACTTGGATTTCTGACAAATTAACAAGAGAATTTCAAATTGTCGGCCTGTATAGCTAACTAAGGAACATTTTGTTGCTATTTCAATCCAAAATGTAAAATTTCTATATCAATTCTCAACAATTTTAGAATTGTACCTGGGAACTACTAATATTTTAATGAAAACAGTTGAAATGAATGGTTTATTTTAAGGTTTACATTTCATAAATTGTTCATTTCTGTGGTTGCACATATCAAGAATTACATTTTTATGCATTGTAATAATTTTGAGCCATAGATAATCAATGTTCTAAATTAACAATAAGATCATTTTAGAGTATCAAAACACACTTGATTTATGGTCGTCTGCATCTAAAAATTGTCGTAGAGTTCTCATATCTTCATGAAGTCTATCTGGTTTGTAACTGTTTGCTTATCATATGCCCATGATAAACCTCTCCATTTCGCCTAATGCAATAAAATATTTTCATACTTGCATGTTTTTGTTTTTTTGCCAGAAACAAAAATTCTTTAGGATTAAAAAAAAAATCATCTATATATAAGTAAATATATACATATGCTTATAATATAGGAGCGATATTGATGCATATATGTAAAATAGTGGTTTTATTTTTTTTAAATCTTAACAAAAATGCAGCATCATGCACAAGAAAAAAATGGTATTTTGCCTGCACTTAGAAATCCGAGCAATGCTTAACCCTTTTCGCAACGAGGGGTACCGTGTGATAAATTAAAATGCCTTGCCAATTTTTCAGCACAGACGGGTAATAGAACACTCTGAATGTCCAATTTAAATACGCAAAATAGAACTCACTTAGAGTGCACTTTGGGTTATATACCACAGAACTGGTTCTCCTGCAGAGATACTTTGTACATAACAGATGTATTTAATTTCCTTGTATTTTGTAACTTACTTGTACACTGAAAAAATACAGAATAAAAAGCTCTTCTTTTTTTTTTTTTTCAAAATGTATGCTTACCAAAATTAAGATTTTTATTCTTTCATACAGTATGTAAACCTTAAAGTTGCCAATAAATATTTATAAGTATAAACAGATTCAGGCAGTAGTGTTCTATTTTGTGTAGCGTGTCTAAGACCTGTCCAATGGACAGGTAAAATTGTCTTTGGCGTCCTATTTTCTATAACGTTTTGAAGCTACCTAATTTCTTCAATGTATGCTTTTACATACAGAGGCTTGAACTTAGAAATAGCAACGGGTGGAATGGTAATACAGATACAGAGTAAAAAAGAGAACTTATGGAAAGGAAACTAAAAGATTTTTCTGAACATGAAAAAATGTGGCAATAGAAATAGCAGGATTCAGTTAGGTTCGGCAGGATTTTAACTCTACAACCATCCGAAAATTAATTTCCTTATTTTTAGTTCAAATATCCAAAGTGCCACCATAATTCATTGTGTTATTTTTTTCATGGATGGAGTGTTTGATCACAAAGTGAAGAACTTTAGGTGAATGAACTTTGAAAGACATTGAATGGCTCGATGAATTTCATGAATTTAGTTAACTCAATTACGCTCTTCAGTAATTTCATTGTGGGAAATAATTTTTTCGTATTTTATAAACCTTTTTGGCAGCATTTACTTCAAACTATGCACATAAATTGCTGATGCTTTAGAGAGCAGAGATACCTTTTTTTGGTGTGCTTGAACCATAATGGATTGTGCCATTATAAAATACATACTGTTTTAATCTTTTTTTCAGCAATGTTTTTGTTCTTCCCAATATCTTATGTGTAAAAGGTATGTGACATACTTTAATTTAATTGCATAAAAGTGTCGACCATGTCAATTGACAGACATAAATTGCCGGCAAACCTAATCCTAGGACCTCAAACGAATAATGTGTAAATAAAATTGCAAGCTTTCTCATGTCACCTCATTCTGTAAAATCAAAAGGATTACTGTGCTTGGGAATGGAACAAAGTGCTCCCCAATGTTCTTGATCTCATAGGTGCTAAGATTGTCTACTAAATATTCAGGCAAGTGTATGGGGCAACAGGTATTTCAATATATGTTTCATATAGCTAGGTGAAACAAGAAAGTTAAAGCAAAAAGTAACAAGCTATGGTAATACAATACAGGTTTATGGGTATTTTAAGAATCACAATGTCATATACAGAGTAAAAGTCATTCAATCCGGCACATCAAAGGTAAGTTTATATACATGTATATGAAACAAAAAACATAATAGAGAAATGCCTTAGACTTAGCCCTATGAGAAAATAATAGTAGAAAGTAGGTTCAGGCATTCAAGGTTTCTTCAAAGAGGCAGATAAATTGAGAACTGAATTCACAACGTTTGTCAGCTTGACAAAGGCCTCTGTGAAGGCCGAAACGTTGCAAATTCAGTTCTTACATAGTTACATAGTTACATAGCTGAAAAGAGACTTGCGTCCATCAAGTTCAGCCTTCCTCACAAATGTTGTTTTGAAGAAACCTTGAGTGCCTGGACCTACTTTCTACTTATTTCTACTAAATTGGGTTTTGCCAACCCAGTCTTTGATGCATCTGGTTTTCACTGTGAGAGTTCGGTATCCTTTATGTTTGAATTAACTTGACTTGAGAAAGGGAGGTTCACCAGAAAGCTTGTCATTCCAAAAATCTGATAGTCCATTAAAAAGTATAACAAGATTCAATTTAAAAAAAAAATGTAAAGTAGTAGAGCAATAAAGATAAAGAAAAAAAACCCTATTTGAACTCATCTAAAGGAGCACTTTTCCTGTAAAAAAAACCCCAAAAAACAAGGACAAGACAGGAAAGAGGATGTCGCAAGTCCTATATAGGAAAATACCAGTAACCTCTACCCGTCCACGAATGGGAAACATATAAAACATAAGAAAGGACTGTGCATTCATCTCCATTTATATGAAGAAAAAAAAAAAACATAATAGAGAAATGTCTTAGACTAGAGAAAGGGAGGTTCTCCAGAAGGCTTGTCATTGCAAAAATCTGCCGGTCCAATAAAAAAAAGGTATTACAAGATTCTAATTGTATCTGTTACTCTACATCGACATTACTGGACTATTACAGCTACAATGTATACCAGGGCTACCCAAACCTTTATGGGCCGAGACCCACTTTTGAAAACGGTAAGTTTTCGAGACCCACTTGCTTTTAATGTATATTTTAAAAATAGACATAATGGCAATCCACTTTAGAGGCATACAATTGACACAGCATTGCAATCCACTTTAGAAGCATACAATTGACACAGCATGGCAATCCGCTTTAGAGGCATACAATTGGCACACCATGGCAATCAGTTTTAGAAGCATGAAATTGGTACACCATGGCAATCAGTTTTAGAAGCATAAAATTGGCACACCATGGCAATCAGTTTTAGATGCATAAAATTGGCACACCATGGCAATCAGTTTTAGATGCATAAAATTGGCATATCATGGCAGTTTTAAAGGCATAATTCTGGGATATCATGGCAGTTTCAGAGGCAGAAGCTTGGCACATGATGGCAATCAGTTTTAGAGGCATACAACTGCTTACTCACAGACTCAGTCAGAATCTGAAGTACTGTGTCCCACTCATCCAGGCCCCTTTAATCGATTATCCCAGTGGTGGAACTAATGTAGAGAGGGCCCTGCTGCAAGCATGTTTTCTGGGCCCCCCTTTAGTGCAAGTGTGGTCAGAAGGTAGATCCCCATCTTTTTGAGAACTTCAACAATGCTATGCCAGCTGGGGATCTACCATATGCCCATTGTTGCAGGGTTATTTTGTGAGCAGTGTTTGAGCTTTTTAATGTAGGCATGTTTTTTATTAAGTATATGTGTGCATGTATGGGTGTATTTGTATGAACTGTTGCCATTGGAATCTAGTGGTGTACTTGTCTGTAATGTTTGCATCTGAAGGCAGAGGTGTTTGAATGTTTAATGGGGCAGGGAAAGAAAGGGTTACAGTGGGGGTAGTAGGGTGAGAAAGCATTACAGTGGCGGGACAGGGTGAGAAAGCATTACAGTGGCGGGGCAGGGTGAGAAAGGGTTACAGTAGGGGGGACAGGAAAGAAAGGGTTACAGTGGGGGGTGCATGTAGCAAAAGGGCTACAGGTGGGGTGCAGGGAGAGAAAGGATTACGGGGGCAGGAGAAAGGGTTATAGTGGGGAGGCAGGGAGAGAAAGAGTTACAGTGAGGGAGGCAGGAAGAGAAAGGGTTACAGTAGGGGGGACAGGAAAGAAAGGGTTACAGTGGGGGGGTGCATGTAGAGAAAGGGCTACAGTGGGGGTGCAGGGAGAGAAAAGATTACGGGGGCAGGGGAGAAAGGGTTACAGTGGGGGGAGGCAGGGAGAGAAAGAGTTACAGTGGGGGAGGCAGGGAGAGAAAGGGTTACAGTGTAGAGAAGAAGGTAGGGAGAGAAGGGGTTAGAGTGCGGGGAGGAGGGCAGGGAAAGAAGAGGTTACAGTGTGGGAAGGGGGGCAGGGAGAGAAGGGGTTACAGCGCAAGGAAGGGGGAAGGCAGAGAAGGGGTTACAGTGTAGGGAGGCAGCCAGGAGAGAAGGGGTTACAGTGCAGGGAGGAGGGCAGGGAGATAAGGGGTTACAAGGCAGGGAGGGAGGCAGGGAGAGAAGGGGTTACAGTGTAGGGAGGGGGCAGGAAGGGAATGAATTACAGTGTGGGGAGAGGGACAGGGAGAGAAGGGGTTACAGTGGGGGAAAGGGGCACGGAGAAGAGTGGTTACAGTGTGGGGAGGGGGCAAGGAGAGAAGGGGAGTGGGGAATGGGGCAGGGAGAGAGGGGTTATAGTGTGGGGAAGGGGGCAGGAAGAGAAAGGGTTACAGTGTGGGGAAGGGGCATGGGGAGAAAGGGTTACATTGTGGGAAGAGGGGCAGCAGGAGAAGGGGTTACAGTGTGGGGAGGTGGGCAGGGGGGAAAGTGGTTCTAGTGTGGGTTGGGGGGAGGAATGGCAAGGTGTGTCCTACCTTTGTTTTCAATATAATAAATTCCCTGGTGGTCCACTGGGTTACTCCTCCGGTCCGCAGCTCCCCCGGGTGCAGAGCTGCAGACCATGTGATAGAAGGTAAATAAAAAAAAAACACCCCTAACCCCAAACCCCGATTCCCTAGCCCCTAATCTCTAACCCTAACCCCTAACCACTTGTTTTGCCACTTTTCAGAAATCCGAAGCACTTCAGAACTTCGGCAATTCAGTTTAGTTCGGCATTTCGGCAAATTCAAACTTTGAACATTCGTAAGCATCCGAATGTCCGAATTGCACAAATGTACATTCGGAACTAAACAAATTGCACAAGTCTAGAGGCCACCACAATTGCAACACCATTCTGTAGATGTAAATTCTGCTTTATGTATATGAAGAGTTTGCTTAATTTCAGCTGTTTCAGACACTCAAATCATTCTATTCAGTTCAATGCTATACTGCCCTTAAGGTCCAGATTTCATTATTATAATGTTTAAATAAAATATTCAGTTTCTGTGTGATAGGTACTCTACTAGTCAATTCTCACCGACAATGTTACAGGTCTTTACAGGCTATCCTGTAACAAACACGTTCTATGCGCTAGGCTGTCACCTTGTTTATGCTTGAATATTATGTAGCATTGTTCTCTTATATGGTGTACATATTCCCCACGTGGACAAATTATCCTTCCCTTATTGGCCCCCTCATTCGTTTGGGGCCTCAATTTCACTATCCATAAAAAAAAGCCATCCAATCAGAGTGCTCTGACAGGTAAATGAAGAGACTGGCAGGTAAGTCTCTACATTTACCTGTCACAGCACTCTGATTGGTTAGCTTGAAATCCAGCCAATCAGAGTGCTCTGTGTCATTTTACACAGCGTGGAAAAGTTCTTTGAAATTTTCCCACGCTGTGTATTTTGACTCATAACTCTCTGATTGGTTACTCAGGGGTGGGGGCCAGAAGGGAGGACAATAGGTCCCCCCCCCTTATTGGTATTTAGGGCCCCCACCCACCGCTCAGTG